TTTCGATTGATGATTGATGATTAACGGATTTACTACCGTTGCGCGCAGCCTCGACGGCTTATAGATTCGTCGACACTGGAAGAGGAAGATGGCGCCCACAGTCGCCATTGATCAATGATAATCAGAGACAACCATTCTGGGCCAGACATTTCACAGTCGTCGACCCGCCCGCTGCGAACCAGGTTACGACTTGCCAGACTTGGACCCGTTCAATGTTACCCGTTCGTCAGACAACCCCCCATGCGAGCGGGATGTCAGTCGGCAATCGAGTCGGCAATCGAGTCGGCAATCGGGCATCTCATGCGGGATGGTGGGCAGCGCGGCAGGCACGCAGCAGGCGCGCAGCCAGGACTCGAGGAGATAGGAGATGGCGCCGCTCCATGCGTCTGTCCTATTGGTCAGACGGCCCGGCCCAGAGCTCCGGCTCCGCTCCAGTATGTGGGGAGGGTGGGGGTTGGGAGGCCGCAGAAGAGCGCAGCGCCAGGCAAGTAACGCAAGGCACAGGCCCGTCCCCTGCTCGCAATCATGGCTTCCACTTGACGTCTGCTTACTTTCACTATCTCTAATCTGTACCAGACCAGATGGCAGAGTGCCAGACATGATGATCATGATGCGTTTCCGCCACAGAACTGCCAGACGCAACCCCGGATCATACATGTAGCATGCAGCAACATTGCCCCGTCACTATGCATGCCCAAGCACACGACCAGATGTGATGTGTCTCAATTGAGCACCTCCAAATGGCCTGGACAGGTGGAAGGGTCTTCCTCCGCCCAGTCAAGGGCCAAGGTCCAACGCGGTCTGAGGAGGGGGTTTGAGACAACTCCCTCCCCCATCGCTAACAGGTTGAGACACGCACGAAATTTCATGGTATATATATCTGAGGGGAAAGAAAAAAAAAAAAAAATCTCTCGGCCCGGAAGAAACCTGCACATCGATCTAGTTCATCGGAAGATATCATGTCGATCTCCACGATTTGGGAGACTCACCCAGAGCCCGCGTGAATCACTTTTGTCCCTCCCTTCTTTTTCTTTCCTCTTCTTCTTTTTTGAGAGCCTTGTTCTACGATTCAAATTCCCGGATCCTCATCACGTCGCACTAGCAATGAAAGGGAGCAATCGACTTTGACACCCTCTTGTGGCAGCCCTCGAGCAGCATAAAAGCTTAGCCTGCGCCAAAATTTGTCGGAGAAAGAAAGCCCACCTCTGCCAATTCATGTTGGATGAAATACCGCCCGAGGGCGGTGATGTGAATCAGGGACCGCACGTCTTGATCTTCTTTTGGGCCACGGCTGCGGTGAGCGTCATTGTCGTGGCGTTGCGGTTCCTTGGACGGCATTTTCGGCAGAGGATAGGGCTGGATGATTGGTTTATGCTTCTTACTTTGGTATATTTCCTTTCCTTTCCTTTCCTTTTTCTTGTGGGGGAGAAGTCTATAACCAAAAAAGGAAGCAAAAAAGAAGAGGAAAAAAAAAAAAAAAAAAAAAAAAAATCCCGTGTCCGATCAAAAGACAGTCTAGGCGAGGAACCCCCCGCCGTACATGTGAATGACTTCTCATACTTTTACATGACAGATCCTTCATATCCTCTTCGTGGCTGTCCTGACCAAGGTGATTTTAATCGGCGGCCTGCGTCACATCTACTACCTGGAACGAAATCAGCGCGTGCAAGTCCTCAAGTGGACGTGGATATGCCAGCCCTTTATCGTCATGGGCTTCGCCACCGGCAAGCTCTCCATCGGCATCCTGCTCTGGCGCGTCGTCGGATCGGCCTCCTTCTGGCGCAAGTGGTTGCTCTGCTTCGCCCTCGCATCGGCCCTCAGCTTCAGTGTCGTCAACGTCGCGCTCACATATGCGCAGTGCTCCAAGCTGGACGCGCTTTGGAACCACGCCCTCCTGGCAGAGGGCAGAGCAACCTGCTGGTCTCCGACCGTGCAGCTCAATTTTGCCCTCTTTCTCTCTGGTACGTCAGCCGGCTGTGCTCCGGAGTGTGGTGTAGTAGCAGAAACAACAACAACAACGCGCTGCGCATGCACGTACTGACCCGATCTTCTTGGCAGGGTGGAATATCGTCGTTGATCTGTTCCTGGCCGTCCTGCCCGCCACCTTCTTCTACAAGCTCAACCTCACGCTGAAGAAGAAGATTGGCCTATGCGCTCTGCTCGGCTTGGGCTCTCTGGCGGCCATCTGCGCGGCCGTCAAGGCCAAGTACCTGTATTTAATGACCGTGAGGTCCGACACTGGTTGTATGTCTCCTCTTCTCCCTGACGAGGCGTCATGCCGCCTGCCAGCCCCTTGGGCATGTACTGATTATCTTTTTCAAACCCACGTACCCCGTCTTCCAGCCAAGGCGTTTGAACTCTACGCATGGTCGACCATGGAACTCTCCCTCATCATTCTCTGCGGCAGCATCGCGCCTATTAAACCAGTCTACGATCGTGTGTTTGGCAAGCAGGCATGCAGCAGCGCCGACGCTACGGGCTACACACCATGAGATGTCAGTGTTTTCTTTTTTCTTTTTGACACGTTGAAAAGTGTCTTTATATCGTGTCGGCGCCCCCCCGCGGGGGGGGGGGGTATATGAAAAAGAAGGCAGATGAGGAGGGATTTCGAGCAGGGGTTCTCGCCGGGGGGAAAAAGGTGTGGCTTGGAGGCCTTGGACTATAGCAGTAGACAATCTCTGCGGCTGCAACAAGATGATGGCGATGGTGGACAGGTGACCAGTGAGGTCAATTACATGGCATGGCGTACATTGTTTGTACAGGAGGGCTTTTGTGTAGTCTTTTCTTCGTTGTTCGTTGTTCGTTGTTTCTTTTCCCCTTTTCTTTCTCTTGCTCATCTTTCCTTTCCTTTTTTAATTCTTCGTCTATGGTGACTCGTCTGGCGTGTTATTGCAGGCACGGACGGTGCACGGGTATGTAAGCTCGGTTGGTGGCCCGTGAATCCATCAACGGCCGTGTCTTTGTCTTTGCCCAATCTCCAAGACTAGATGCCCAAATGTGTCAGGCATGATGTTATGAATGATGATGAACACTGTACACTGCACCAGACACTTCAAATGACACATGGGCCGTGGCCGCGTACGGGAATAACGCGGGCTTGTGCCAAATGCTGCCTGCAACTTGTCAGGGCACTGGTGACTGGGGTTCCTCGGACGGCGACGACCTCGCTTGCCATGCCAATGCATTTTCCACAACATGGCTCTATGAGCTATAATTACTAGCGTGCTTTCAACCAAGACACTTTGGCCGAGTGGTTAAGGCGATGCCCTGCTATTGGATGTGCAATTGTGAGGCATTACATTCGTGTGCGCAGGTTCGAATCCTGCAGGTGTCGATTCTTTTTGCGGGTTTCTTTGGCGCCGCAGCTTCTGCAGTGCAGTGGGTTCCGGATGATTTCTTTTCATCTTTTTTGTCATTTGGGAATAATCAATGGTGACTCAACAAATCGACATGCATATATATCAGTGAGTGGCGGGAACCATTTGCACCTCCCATGTATGGGAATGACCCTGTAGCTCGTTTACTAGGTATTTTCGTCGTCTATAGAGTCGTTGCGATCAAGAACCGTCTACTCGTTGCTCTTTTACAGTAAGATTTTTATCATGACACCTACAGTCCGGCCACTTCTGCATACACATGTATGTCTGTTTTGTTTGTTACGACGGCTTTCAGCCCGACTAATTCGCATTGGCAGCGCGATGCATGCATCGAGCATTGCAATGGATTCTACACCGGTTACATGCCCACCCAAGGCCGGCGCCACCTGGCTTCCAGGCAGGCGCCTGTGTCTACGTATGATTTATTTCGCATTCCACGAGCTGTGCTCACTCGCCTGGGTATGCGTCTCTGCAGAACCAAACATTGGCGTGTTGCATGCGGGGAGATAGATACAGAGAAAGGTGGCTTCACGGCGAGTTGAAACGCGTGTACAATGATGGACCGGCGCGGCCAAGGGGGTTCATGCGACTGACTACTCGTGCCGAGAGCTTTGCGATGAATGAATGGGGTTAGGAGATGTACAATGAAAACCAAGCAACTGCAAGAAATATTATACATGGGGGTTTGGGAGAAGTAGTATATCTCCAGGCCTAGCATGTGACATACTCACCTTCTTCTTCTTCTTTTTTTTTTTTTTTTTTTTTTTTTTTTTTTTTTTTTCACTTTTTTTTTTCCCTTTTATCTATCGTGATTTCACTTTTTCCTTTTCCC